AGATCAAGTGCCCCCCACGCCCGCCGCCGCCGCCACCCCGGTGCCGTCGGGGCCCGCCGCGCCCTCCTCGGCCTCCTCCGCGCCCTCGTCCTCGTCCTGCTCCGGCTCGCCCTCTGGCTCCGAGATCTGAGCCGCGATCTGCATCTCGAAGATCGTGTCCTCGCAGAAGCTGACAAACAGCTCCATCTTCTCCGACTCGCCGCCCTCGTTCACCACGTCGAAGATGAACTGGCGCTTGGACTCCTTCACCTGTGGAGAAGGGGAGCGGATGGCGGGGTTCACTGTTGCAGGTGCCCTTTGAGACCCGGCCTCGTGTAGCCCAGGCTGGTCTCCAACTACCTATGAGGTTGAGGATGGCCTTGAACTCCTGATACTCCTGCTGGGATTAGAGTTCCACAAATTCCTTTATTATTGTCGTTGTAAATTATGTGTAGGATTGGAGATACGGCCCCGCAGCTAAGCACACTGGCTATTCTTCCAGAGGACCCCGGGTTTGGCTCTCAGCATCCACAGGGCAGCTCACAACCATCTGTAACTCCAGGTCAGGGGTTTCAATGCCCTCAGGAACACACATGCAGGTGGTGGATGCAAGCAAAACACTCACACATAAAACAATCTTTAAAAACAATAAAATTATGTGTGTCTGAGTGTATGTGAGTGTAGGGGACCTAGGATTCAGGGAGAAGGCATATGATCCCTAGACCTAGAGCCACCCAACACGGGTGCTGGAAGCCAAACCTGGATCCTCTGCAAGAGCAATAAGCATTCATAACTGCTATTATTATTACTATTATTATTTTTATCATCATCATCATTATTTTGGAGACAGGATCTTACTATATGTTGTCCTGGAACTCACTATATAGACCAGGTTGTCCTCCAGCTCATAGAGACTGACCTACCTTTGTCTCCCAAATGCTAGGATTAAAGGATTTAAGGAGTCATGGTCATGTTATGCTGCCTGGGCTGGCCTCAAACAGTCTTCTCCACTCAGCCTCCGGAGTGCCAGCCTGGGTCTACAGGGGCACACTGCTGAACACAGCCTACACGTTATTAACAGCAGCATTGCAGAACACGGTCCTGCATGCTTCTCATCCCAGCCCATGGGAGGTAAGGCAGGATCATTCAAGTTCTAGGCTGCCCTGGGCTGCAGTCTCCCCACCCCCGTGTGTGTGTGTGTGTGTGTGTGTGTGTGTGTGTGTGTGTGTGATTTGTAGGTAAGCATGTTACCTTAATAAAGCCAGGCAGTTAACCAAGAATTTACATAGGCCTAGATAGGAACAGATCATAAATAAAATGTAGAGTTTGAGCTCTTAACAAGCTCAAAAATCTAGCTAGCCCCAGAATCTAGCTTTTGCTTATTTTGTTGTTTTTGTTTTGAGACAGTCTCCATATTTAGCACGTGCTTACTTTGTGCATGTGATCCTCCTGCCTCAGCCTTTCACATGCTAGAATTACACACATGTACTTGTACATGCCCAGCCTATACCTTTTAGCTGTTTTGTTTGTTTTGAGACAGGGTCTCATGTATCCCAGGCTAATCTCAAATGCTGTGGGTCACTAAGGATGACCTTGAACTCCTCCGGATCCCTTCACTCCCCAAGTGCTGGGATCACAGGCATGCACCGCCATGCCAGGCTGGCAGGGGTTCAAATCCTAATTCTACTATTGAAAAGCTGAGTGACTGTTTTACTTAACTCCATGGGCCTCAGTTTCCCCCTCCATAAATGGGGCCCAATGGAAGGACCGGTTACAGGATGGCTGTGAAGATTTAATGAGTTGGCTGGTGTTGAGTGGTCAGATAGTGCCCGCCTGGCATCTGACCAGTGCGTAGTGTTCACTGCCCCGTGAGGCCCACATGAACATGCATGGATTCCCGGGGAGCACGGGAGGCTGGTGTGCAGGAGGAGAGGGTGACACAGGAAGAGACAGTACGCACTAGGGAACAGGTGAAGAGCACAGCGGGGGGAGGACATGGTGAGTGGGGGCTCCCTGCAGACACATGCGAACAGATATTCTGGGTGCAAGGACGTGTGCCTGATGGGATGTGAATATGTGATGCATGATCGTGAGGGTTTTTGTGGAGAGCCAAGGGGGCACCAGGGACCAAGAGAGGATTCCGGTGTGAATAGAGCATTGGTGCCCTGGGAAGATGCTGCCAGGGTGTGACCACACCGCATTAGGCTCTATGTGCAGGAAGCGCGTGGGACCACGCAGAGGAGAGGACAGATAATTATGCAAGGGTCTGCATTTACACAGTCTATGCCAGGGGAGTGTGTGGGGGTCAGTGTGAGAGGGCCCAAAGCACGCGGCAGGACACTCTGTGGGGGCAGATCCACGCGTGCATGAGCTGGGTCTCTACTGAGGCGAGATATGAGGGGTCTGGGCGTTAGGGAGGCCATGAGTGTGTGAGCCTCATGGGCTAGGAGAGAGGGAGGAGAGTGTGAGAGCTTGTGAAGGAGGGTGCAGGCGCTTGGGGGGCATGCCAAGGATGTGTGTGTGCAAGTGCATGCAGGGAGACCCCTGGGGCGACAGGGCAGGGAGGGGCTGAGGTGCGAGGGCCACACAGGGGACTGAGAGAAAGAGTGGAACTCACTAATGAGCTAAGTGAACCCAGCAGGCTGGCAGCAGGCTGGAGCTGTGGGTGTACTCTCAGGGAGTGTGTGGGACACATTCAAGCATTGCTGGGTAGGATGTGTGGGGCTGGGGCTGGGGCGGGCTGAGATGGGACTCCACGGGTCCAGGCTGCCCCGGACATAGTTCTGAGGGCCATATTTGAGAGGATGGTGACCAGAGAGGAGCGTGCTAGCATGCCAGAGCACCCCAGAGCCACCAAAATGAGTATGGGGGAGTGGGCATGGGCCAACTGGGGTGCAGGCGGCAGGTGCGCAAAGTGTGTGCAATCATGCAGATTCAAGCCTAGGTGTGACTGCATCAGGATGACAGATCACGCCAGAGTTCCCAGGGCGAGTTGCAAGTCATGATGTCCTGCAGCGACCATGAGGGCACGCCCATGCTGCTGCTGCAATGCACAAGGGATGCGTATGCCAGAGGTGGGTGCCAGCAAGTTTGGGTTGCGCAAGATCACAGCAGGAACCACAACATCTCTCTGAGGAGGGGTGTGGGGTTAAAACTCTGTAGATCAAGTGGTAGTGTCTGCCTAGCATGCGGGAAGCCCTGTGTAGGGCTTTGATTCCCAGAACCCCAAAAGCCAGATACGGAGGCACACACTTGTAGTCCCAGCACTGGGGAGATGGAGGCAGGGGCCACCCTCAGCTACAACGTGAGTTTAAGACCAGCCTGGGATATATAAAACCTTGTCTTCAAACATAATACGATGTGGGGAGGGGTGTGGGCTTGTCAGAGCCAAGCAGGGCCCGAGGTACAGACACTGAGGTGTGCACAGCCCTGTGTAGGGTATGAACAGTCCAGGCGCCAAGGCCTCATGCACACGCACAGGTCTACTGACCTGGGGCATCTCCCACTGGGCACGGTTGGTCTCTGAGATCTCGAAGTAGATCCGCTCTATGCGACGCGAGGAGCCCATGATCTCGATGCGGCCCAGGTAAGGCCGGAAGTACTCCAGGATGCTCTCGGCCAGCTCCAGGAAGTTGCGCAGGCGCGGGTCGTGGGGGACGTGCTCTGACAGGTTGGTCAGCAGCACGGCCACGTTGAAGCCGATGTCCCGCGCCGGCTCCTGGAAGCGGTTGGCAAACTCTTCACAGTTGATCATTTCGTTCTCGTCGGCTTCGGAGCACGACAGCAGGAACTGGATCTCTGGACCAGAGAACTGCTTCTGGCTGTCCATGGCCTGTGGGCAGGCAGGGAAGGTCAGTGTGATGTGCAGAAGCCCAGGACTTAGCAGGGATGACGTGTGTATGTGTGTGCGTGTGCGTGTGCGTGTGCGTGTGCGTGTGTGAACTCAAAGGCCTCAGTGTCAGCAACAACCAATTATAAGGGCTGTGGCTAAGCGGAGCTGGGTGGTGCTATTTCAATCCCAGCACCTGGGAGGCAGAGGCAGGTCGGTCTTTGTGAGTTCAAGGCCAGCCTGGTCAACATAGAGAGTTCCAGAACAACCAGGGCTTACATAGTGAGATCCTATGTCAAAAAACTAACACAACAACAACAAAGACAACAAAACATCACAAAACAAAATGAAACAAAGGCTCAGTTGGTAGGGGGCCTGCCTCAGACGCAATGGATCCCAGCATCATATAAACAGGATGTGAGGAACATGTCTGTGACCCCAAACAGTAATAAATAAGCCCCTTGCTCTTGATAAAATAATGGTAGGGGTTTTTTGTTTGTTTTTGTTTTGTTTTGTGGGCTTTTCAAGACAGGGTTTCTCTGTGCAGCCCTGGCTGTCCTAGAACTCTCTCTGTAGACCAGGCTGGCCTCAAACTCAAGAGATCCTCCTGCCTCTGCTCCCTGCCCCCAAGTACTGGGATTAAAGGTGTGCACCACACCCAGTTAATAAAGGTGGGTTTTATCCAGGCCCACCCGAATCAAAAAATATTAAAGGTGGGTTTTATCCAGGCCCATCCGAGTCCAAAAAAAAAAAAAATTAAAGGTGGGTTTTTAAATTAGAAATTAATTTTGCTTTTGTTTGTTTGAGACAGAGTCTTCCTACATCGCCCTGACTGGACTAGAACCTACTCTGTAGCCCAGGCTAGCCTGGAACTCATAGCCTCCTGCCTCTGCCTTCTGAGTGCTGGGACCAAAGGCATGTGCCACCATGCCCAGCTGCTTATTTTGTTTGTTTGTTTAAGACAAGGCCTCGCTGGGCGGTGGTGGCACACGCCTTTAATCCCAGCACTCGGGAGGCAGAGGCAGGAGGATCTCTGTGAGTTCGAGGCCAGCCCTGTCTCCAAAGCGAGTTCCAGGAAAGGCACCAAAGCTACACAGAGAAACCCTGTCTCGAAAAACCAAAAAAAAAAAAAAAAGAAAGAAAAGACAAGGCCTCATGAAGCCCAGGCTGGCTTGAAACTCACTACATAGCCAAGGCTGGCCTTAAATTCCCAATGCTCCTGCCTCAGCCTTCGGATTACATGCATGCACCACCATACTCAGTTTATGAAATTCCGGGAACCAAACCCATGGCCTCGTGCCTGCTAGACAAGCACCCCACCAAACAGACTGCACCCCACACTTGCTGCGTGCTCTTCAGCAGTTTTCAAAGGCAGTTTCTCAAACATCCTTGACCGCACCAGCAGTAAGAAAGCATTTTACAGTTCAAATAAAAAAAAAAAGTTTCAAGACACATTTCTGACTTTTGCTACGCAATGGTTCTCCGTGTTCTGTTTTCTATTAAGAGATGAGTTTCCTGACCAGCCTAGAGATGGGCTGCAGAATGCAGAGACGCAGCTCTGGGGTATGAACAGAAGCGGTATTTCCTGGCTCTAGGCTGTCCTTGGTGGAAGCCAAGAGCTTTGCAAAATGCTTTCTAAATGAGTAACAGGCTTTGCAAATCATGAAAGGTTCTAAAACCACAGAGCAAAGAGACCCAGTCACACAGGAACTTCTCATCATGTACCCTGGTGCATCCACCAGCTGCCCCCCCATGAGAGCCTGGGATCCTTTCCTCCCCCCTCCTGATTCGCTCTTGGATGCAACTCTGCCGATTTGCTGTTGGTCATCGTCCGTCTGTCCCACCCCTTCTTTTGTGACATCTTCTCTGGCCACTGTCAACCTGCCTTCACTTCCAGACCTGGAAAGGCTGGAGGTGGCTGGGGGCGGGCGGGGCTGAGAGCTACACCCTCCCTTTGCTTCCCACATTCCTTAATCTGACAGTGGGATTCTAGCTTCCACACGTCACCTGAACATATGATTGGCAGGTCTTCCCATCTGGACCCTGACCACTTTCCAGCATCTTGACAAATGGGACCACTGACATCTTAGTGTATGTCACCTCACAAACAGAAAGGCTCAGAAGTAACTTGTTTTCTTCTTCTTCTTCTTCTTCTTCTTCTTCTTCTTCTTCTTCTTATTATTATTATTATTATTATTATTATTATTATTATTATTATTATTATTATTAAAGACTGTCAATCGGGTTGCTGGAGAGATGGCTCAGATGTTAAGAGCACTGGCTGCTCTTGCAGAGGTCCTGAGTTCAATTCCCAGCAACCACATAGTGGCTCACAACCATCTGTAATGAGATCTGGCGCCCTCTTCTGGCCTGCAGGCTTACATGCAGGCAGAACACTGTATACAAAATAAATAAATCTTTAAAAAAAAACGACTGTCAGTCGGTTGGTGACACACACCTTTAATCCCAAAACTTGGGAGGCACAGGCAGGTGGATCTGAGTTTGAGGCCAGCCTGGTCTACTGAGTGAGATCCAGGATAGCCAAGGCCACACAGCGAAACCCTGTCTGAAGGGGAGAGAAAAAAAAAAAAGACTCTTGCTATGTAGCTCTGGCTAACCTGTAACTTCCTATATAGACCAGGCCAGGCTGGCCCTGGCTTCTTGGCATCCCTCCGGCCTCTCCCTCCAGAGTGCTGGGATTATAGGCATGCAGGCCCACGTGTGAATCCAGAAGAGAGCGTTAGAAGATAAAACCTCCCCTCCCCCAGCCTTACCCATTTCAGGAATAGCGGCTCCCACCCACCCGCTGTGCTGAAGTGAAATCTCTGAGTCATCCCGCCTGCTCTTGTCACCCACATCTGATCCCTCATCTGCAAAGCTGCCAGCTCGCTCTCAGGACAGATCCAGGACCCATCCGCGTCTCCTCCCTCCCTGCACCCCTGCCTTCGGTCTCGCACGCTCACAGCAGCCCCCTCCCTGCCACGCCGTCTCTAAACACAGTGGGAGGGGCTCTGAGAACACGCTTCAGGTCTGAACTCTGCACACGTGAAGTGCCAAAGTCCCCCTGGGGCTGCCGGGCCTGCCAGCTGCCCCCTCCCTTCCCGAGACTCCGGCCCTGCCAGCTGCCCCCTCCCCTCCCGAGACTCCGGCCCTGCCAGCTACCCCCTCCCCTCCCCAGACTCCGGCCCTGCCAGCTGCCCCCTCCCTTCCCGAGACTCCGGCCCTGCCAGCTGCCCCCTCCCTTCCCGAGACTCCGGCCCTGCCAGCTGCCCCCT